AAATGCCCTCATTGACCTGATTGGCCAAGTCTTCTCAGTAGGCCTAGGATGCAATTACAATTCTATCCCTTTGCATCTGACTTTGAAAATAAGGCCAAATGTCATGATGTCTGGGCTTTCTTGAGTATACTTTCAAACGGGGTACTGAAATCCTGGGGTTTAAAAATCTCATAAGATGTATATTCAGTTGCCTTTTTAAAAAAAATCATAAAATGAAAATGATATAGATCAATGATAAGCCAGAGTGAAAAATGCCAGGATGTTTATGAAAGAGATAATCCCTATTATGAAGGATGTGGCATCCTTCCCCTAGGCAACCTTTCTCAGATAATGCTGTCCATACAGTAAACAGAAATAGTTTAAGCTATCCATCAGCATCTACTTACCACCTACTTCTGGGGACTCACAGCCCGGTGTGAAAAAGTCTAGTCTACTCTGAGAGGGAAAAAAGAAAGTTACAACGAAACCAGGACGTCCTCAGCAGCGGGCTCACCTGCTCCACAGCTCGGGCTGGATGCCAAGTGACCGTGCCGAGCGTCCTGGAAGGAGCTGCCAGGCAAGGAAGAAAAGACGAGTTGTCACCTGAGTCTCAGCAGATGGACAGAATTTAGACAGTGGACAGGCAGGATTGGGGTAGGGGCTGAAAATGTGTATAGCTCAGGCAGGCAAATGGAGTTTAGAAACAGCCACAGTCAACCCCCCCCCCTTTTATTTAAAAGTCTAAGGTTAACCTGGGACTCTCACAAAGAACTCTGCAATATGGGACCTGTTCCTCCCAAGTTCAGCCGAGGTTATACAGAGATGGATGTCCAGAACACTCACTCTCATAGGATGCTCCAATTAAAACCCTAATATGCTACCCTACCCGGCACCGGTTTTATTAGAACCACTCACTGCAATTTATGCTTTGAGATGAATGGATTTTCTAAGAATATAACAGCATATGCCACAGACGTAAAACTCCAAGAAAGCAAAAAAAAACCAAAAAACAAAAAACAAAAAACAACCCACAGAGTTCAGATCATAAAGCAGTGGTTGGCAACCCCAGCTCCACATTAGAATCACCTGGGGAGCCTTCAAGAAATATCAGCGCTTGGGTTGTACCTTGTGCCAATTAAGTCACAGTCCCTGGAGCACCCATATTTAAATTAAAAATACCACTGATTCTAATCCATTCTCTCAACTAATATTTCCCGAGTGCCTGCTACCAGCCAAGCATTTTTTTCCTAAAGGTAGCAGTGAGGCAAATAAAATTCCCCCCTCCAAATATATAACATCATCAGTCTTACATTGCAATCAGCAGGCAGAAAAGGAAATTAAGTCAGCAAGATATGTGTGTGTGCATATATGTATATGTGTATGCAATACATATATATGTCTGCATGTATATGCAGACACATACACACATATGTAAATACTGAAAGAAAATAAAGATAAGAAGTGGAAACTTCAGGATGAAATAGGGTGGCACAAAAGACTTCGCCAACGGGGTCATTTAAATCAAGACCTGGAAGAAGTAAGACGGAAGAACGTTCCAGAGGGAGTGACATCATAGTCCTAAGGCAGAATCCTCTAAGTGTGGCTAGAGCCAACAGGGGAGTTGTCAGATGAAGTCAGAGAGGGGAGGGCGGGGGCAGAGGAGCACCAGCAAGGACCCGGGGGGGCTACATAATGAGCAGACTTTCACTCTGAGTTCGACAGGAAGTCACTGGGAAGATCCGGGTAGAGAGTGACAATGAGAGGATTTCTATTTTACCAGCATCATTCTGGACGCTCCACTGAGAATAAACTATGAGGGGGAAAGGGGAAAAGCAGCAATTGGGAGTCTCCTAAAATAGCCCAGCTGAGAGATGGGGATAGCTTGGAGGAGAAACGTGCTGGGAAACGGTTAGGTTCCAGATACATTTTAAAGGACCAAGTGGAGGAGAAGCATCGTCTGAGCTGAGCATAGTGGCATGTGTCTGTAATTCCAGGATGAGGCAGGAGAGTCATGAATTTGAGGCCAGCCTGGGCGATATGTCAAGAAAGAAAGAAGGAAGGAGCGTGGAGGGAAGAGAAGGGAAGGGAAGGGGAGGAGAGGAGAGGAAAAGGAAGGGAAGAGAAGAGAAGGGAAAGGAGGAAGGAAAGAAGAAAGGAAGGGAGGAAGAGAGGGCTGAGAATACAGCTCAGCTGGTAGACTTCTTAGGAGACCCAAAACCCTGTGTTTGGTCCCTAACACTACACACACAGACATGGTGGCACACACCTAGTCCTGGTGGGGGAGCAAAGGTAGGAGGATCAAGAGTTCAAAACCAGGCCAGCCAAGGTCACATGAGACTGAGAAAGACCAAAAGAGAGGGAAGGAGAAAAGAAGGGGAGCAAAGAGGCGGGAAGAGAAGGGGGGCTAGGAGGGAGAAGAGGGTGAACCATATGGACCATATGGATCAAATAAGTCGTTCCATATGGAAGCAGTACAAGATGGAGGTATACTGGGGAGCACTCTTGACTTCTGGGTGGCATTTGGAGCCATAGCATGAGAGACATCACAGAAAGACAGGAACTCCAAGTGCTCAGCCTTGGGCTCTCCACCATCGCAAGAGGCATGGGGTGGAGTAAGGAGGCAGCCTTGAAAATGGAAAAGAATGCGGGCTGGGCAGCAAAGAGGAATGTCTACAAAATGTTCCGTTCAGAACCAAGGAGTACCTCAAGGCAGCTGAGGATAGACTGATAGCGCCAAATGTTTGGAGGGATCAAGGACGGGGTCAGAAGTTATCTTTGGAGTTAGCAAATGTGGCATCAGTGACCTTCAGGAGAGCAGATTATAAGCAGCTGGAAGTGTGGATCAATGGGAGAAAGCATACTCACCTGGACTCAGCTTATGGGATTTTTGCCTTTCTTACTGAAATCGAAGGGGCCTCAAATGATACTTGGTTTATTGACTAAATAAGCAGAACTGTGCAAGTGTTACATCGCATAGGGCATTCAGGAAATCATCTACAATAGTTATCATGCTAGATGGGAGTCTTCCCTTTTGAAAAGTGACTGTTGGTGACAGCGTAACCCTTCAGATACTTTCATCAGACGGTTCATCCGCCGAACTGGAATATCTGATGACTGCATCATCTTCATGGCTCAGGTGTGAGCATTGTCCCATCTCTCCTCTGCCACCCTAGACATGACAGCCAACACTAGTTTCGTTCATTTAGAAAGAAGCTTCCCGAAGAATGTATTGCAGCTCAGTATCGATGAGCGCTTGAGTCTCAGCAACACCATGCAAATAGTCTAGGTTTTTTTTTTTTTTCACTTTAATGACTTTTAGAGCATGCATGCATGCATGCACGTGTGTGTGAACGTGTAGCCATCAGTGTGCCATGGCACACCTGTGGGAACTAGAGGATGGTCTGTGGGAGTCAGCTCTTTTTTTTTTTCATCAGGTGGGTTCTGGGAACCGAACTCAGGCTGGGAGGCTTGGTGGCTAGTGCCTTTACTGCTGAGCCAACTCACTGGCCCTGTGGTCAATGTTTTGATCAGCCTTCCCCTCTACTCTTTTGACCGACACTGACACCAAAACTGACTCCACTTTAGACTACAGTTTTCACCCCAGGCAAACCACATAGATCTGCTGAGCTCTAGATATGTAACACAGAATGCCGAAGAGGATCTGCGTGTGGGGTGGGGGTAGACATTAGGAATCCGTTCTTATCAATCTGAGCCTTATTTTTTGAGAGAAGCTCTCTCACTGAATCTGGAAACCATCATTTGAGCTGAACTGGATGGCCAGTGAGCCCCGGGGACCCTCCTCTGTCTCTGCCCATCTCGTGCTGGAGTTATGGCACTCGCGGTTACACTTGGCCTTTATGTGGGCACGGAGAGTTCAAACTCAGGTCCTCATGGTTGCAAAGCAAGTGCTTTACCCACTGAGCCATCTTCACAGCCCCTACCCAGAAGGATCCTAGCCAGCTTCAAGTCCTCAGAAAATGGGGTTTTGGAGGCTCACTATAGTCTTTTGTTTTGTTAAGAAGGTATCTCATACAACGTAGGTCAGCCTCAAGCTCAGCAGCTGAGGGTAACCTTGAACTCCTCCTCATTTTCCTGTCTCCTCGACCCAAGTGCTGGGAATATAAGCACACAGCCCTACTATGTTCTTAATGAGATGTTTTCTCAAGTTTTCTCCCCCTAGACCAGGCAGGATGCAAGGGCAGAAGCACACAGGTGGCTGAACTCACTTGGAACAGAAAATTGTGGGGGATGAGGGCAGGAAAAGACAGGAAGCTGGTGGTTCTAGTAAAGGATCAGACGAAGCGATGGTCCATGGGGTGAGGACAGGCTGAAAGGGAAGGGCCTGACAGGCAGCCACCATCTCTCCAGTCAGCCTTCCGAGGTTCTTGAGCACTTTGATAGATTTGATAAGTCAAAGAAATCGGGATTTCATTTATTTTGCCCCATGTACAGAATGGGAGGCATATGCAACACTTCTTTATGTGGCGTGTGTTAATAAATATCGGCTGAGTGAAAAAAGGAGGAAAAGTCTGAGAGCATCAAGGACAGAGCGTAAGCCTTGAGAGAAAACTGAGCATCATGTTGAGAGGAAAAATACCTCCTCCTCCCAATGTTTGCTGTGCTCTCCAGCTTTCGGTGATTTCTTTTATGGGCAAACTACCCACCTCCTAGCTGCAGGACCACCACTGTTATAAAGTTGGCATGCTGTGCCAAGACGAAGATCGGGAACAGCAGTGGAGAACATGTTATTAAAGAATAGTAAGTCCAACTCTCTTAGCGTGCAGGTTCCAGCGAGGATCTGAACCAATGGAATTCCAGAAGCACACCATGATCCAACAAGTGAGAACTGTGGTGGGTGGTAACATTCCACACAGGAACAGCACATAAAATTCATCCTGGCTCCATTGTGACTACCCACCTGCCTGTTACCAGGAACAATGAGCAGCGGCTCTTTGGTAGATGCTAAAAATAAAGGGTACTACCAATGAGTGGCACTTTACATGCACAACCCTCAGGCAAGTTCTGGTTACCATGGCAAACCCCACTAACGACAGCAGAGGTGGGGTGCGTGATGTATCAAGTAGCCAGGGTTCTGCCTTCCCACAGGAAAGCAGCTATGTCTGCCAGCAGTACTGATCAGCTGCTGTAGCCCTCTCCATGAGGGAAGCCCAACCAACACTTGTGGGTCTTGGACATTCTCAGTTACAATTACTATTGGTCTGAAAGAGTGCGGTCCCCCCCCCCACACACACACACACACAAAATCTGGATGTTTACTTACTGGCATGCTGGTGTAATTGTCAAGAGTGGCTTTATTTTTAAAAGGATGTCTAAACTGAGCACAGTGGGTCAGGTCTATAATCCTAGCTACTCACAAGGCTGAGGCAACGATCACTTGAGCCTAAGTGTTCAAGACCACCTTGGCCAATATGGTAAGACTCTGAGAAAGAGAGAGGGGTGGGAGGGAGGGAGGGAGGGAGGGAGGGAGGGAGGGAGGGAGGGAGGGAAGAAAAAAACAAACAACAGACTGAGGGAACCACAAAGGGGGTGAGGGCAGCTGCTTTCTTATCTGGAAAGGACTTGTTCTTGGCTTCTCCCATGACTAGCCCAAAGCTTATGACAGAGGAACAACCTTTTAGCAAGACTCAAGGGAATAAGTTGTCTACCAACCTACAGATGAAGTCTATGTACTCACCCAAGGGGCTTCACCGTCTGGAAAGAGATGCAGGGGCCACAAAAACCAAAAAGGACAGAAAAGTGCTCTTGTGTAAGGAAAATCAGAGCTAAACAAAGACCTCTGGGACTCTTCTAAATCAATTTCATCTCCTAAGCCCAAGTTCTCAGCCATGTTCTACACAGAATCTCTGAGAAAGAGGAATAGCCCAGATCCCAATGCTCCCCACAGATTCTGAGGTTTCTAGTTCCTTTCCTACTCATAAACTCAGGACACTGATGCTCAACACCGTTGGTTATAAGGATTCAACCTGGTCATCTCGACTTTCCCTGTGAGGATTCAAGGAAGACAGTTTAACCCATCAAGTCTCAAGATGGATCACAGAAAGTCTTCATCCCAAAGGGAAGAGAAAGCAAAATTAACTTCTTGGCTTCTCAGGCTGAAGTCCTAGGCCAACTTCTCAGAGAAATTGAGAATCTGAGACTGAGATTTCTTCCCTATGTATTAGCCATCTGTGAGCAGGAAATGAACTTGCAGAAAGCCCAGAAGTCTGAAGGGACTGCCAGGATCCTGGGCCACTCCTGCTTCTCAGAGACTCTATGTAGAATCTGGCTTAGGAGACAAAGAGATGAAGATTCAAATTAAGAAGGTATGTGATCTCATGTCATTTAATCTTTCTGAGACTGTGTCCCTGATCTGAGAAATAGGGATCACTGAGAATAGTGAGGTGTTCAGTGTGTTAAACAGTTGACAATGTGCTAGGGGTGGGAAGCCAGCTCTGATGAGCATGAACTACTCTATGACAGGACTGTTATGAGTACTTAAGATACAGAAACAAAGCAAGATCTTTGCTTTAATGATGTTTGTATTCTAAGAGGTGATATTAAAAATAAGCAAATAAATCAAGGCTATATTTCAAACAGGAATCATGTTATGGAGCTCCAGAAAGTTCCATTTTATATGATCTTAGGGTAAAAGCTTGGAAAAGTGAAGGGCCCCAGTGCATGATGGGAAAATTCCAATGTGTGATGGGACATGGTAGGCTCCAGAATTAAAAGGACAGCATGTTAGGCACAGAGGGAGGGGGGACAATGGGTGGTAGCAGTCACAGGAGATATGGGTCTGCCCAAGGGACACACATCATGTTGGAACCACAAAGAGCAATCCCCAGTCTTCAGCTAGGAAGTGACATGATTTGAACCGTGTTTTAAAAACTATCTTTTTAAGTTTTATTATTTTATGTATATGAGTATTTTGTCTGCATCTATGTCTGTGTACCATGTGCATGACTGGCACCCATGAGAGGCCAGAAGATGGCATCAATCACCAGGAACTAGAGTTACAGATGGTTGTGAGCTGCCATGTGGGTGCTGAGAACAGAATCCAGGTCCTCTGGAAGAGAAGCAAGTATTCTTTACTGCTGATCTACTTTTTCAAATCTTGAATTGTGCTTTTTAATGACCTAAAGGGAGTCAGATATGGTGGTGGGGTACACCTTTAATGTTAGCACTTGGGAAGCAAAGGTAGGTGGATCTCTGGGAGCTAGAGGCCAGCGTGGTCTACAAAGTGATTTCAGTCCAGCCAGAGCTACATAGTGGGAACTTGTATCAAAAAAAATTAATAAAATAAATATAAATTTAAAAAGCTTAAAATATCTGAGTAGGTTAGAGGGAGAAAAGGATGAAGAGGAGGAACATGGGATTTTCAGGGCAGTGATAATACATTCCTATGCTATTATAATGGTGGATTCATGTCTTTACACATTTGCCAAATGATGATACCAAGAAAACACTAATGGAGAAGATAGACTATAGGTGATAACAATGTTTCTTAGTTCAACGTAACAAATACAACATTCTAGTAGAGGATGTTGAGAATGGGGGAGATCGTGTATGCATGAGGAAACCTATACTTTCCTCTTATTTTAGCTGTACATCTAAAATTACACTAGAAAAAAAGACCCCAAACTCTTCAAATAAAACAAGCCCTCTGTGTGCTCTGAGGAGAAGGGACAAGGGTTCAAGAATGTTTTCAAGGTTTCAAGAATGTATCCCAGTTGGACAAATACAATGGGAATCCAGGCGCTAAGCAGCAGTGGCTTTGTGTGGCTTCTCTGGAGGTAGACACTGGAGGAAAAGCTGCCTTATGGTTTGCATGTAGGGTTGCTTAGAGGACAAGAAGGTCAAGAGTAGCTTCTAAACTCCGGGCACTGAGCTGTTGGTACATGGTTGCATCACAACAGAAGGAGGAGAGAACTCCCTGGAAGAAGAAATACCCTCTTGGGTTTGATTCGTAATATCTGAAACTCACCCATATGGAGATGCAGGTGCTGAGCATGAGTGTGAGACTCAGAGAAGTCCATGCTAACATTCCTTTGCTGATATCTGATCCAGCCCTTTCAGGTTTCCAATGGGGACTAAAGGCCAGTGGCTCTCCAGGAACCCTCCAGACTGTCCACACCAGGTTGGGACTGCTGCGGAAGCCCGGTTTACAGGCTGAGTAGCCAAGGGTTCTCACTGGTTCTCAACCTCTTCAACGTGAAGATGCCATTGTTGGACTACTAGGCTGTGGTGTTGTATAAGCTGAATAAACACCCTTTTAGTATATTTTCATTCTATCAGTTCTGTTTCTCTAAAGAATCCTAAGACAATCTGGTTGTCACCAAATTTAATCTCCAATGTCCTTAGAAAAGACACAAAGTGGAATCATGCAATCATGAGAGGACATAGACACACACACACACACACACACACACACACACACACACACACACACACGGAGATTGCCATGTGAGGACGGTGGCAGAGAATGGATGATACAGTCTTCAGGAACGTCAACAGTTACCAGAAGCTGGAAGAGGTGAGGCAATCACCCCCCCCCCCCGCCCGAAGCGTTTGGAAGGAACACGGCCCTCCCAAAGAGCTCGATCTCAGACTTCTGACTCCCAGAACCACGAGAGAATGCATCTCTGTTGTTTTAAGCCACCACACTTGTGTTAATTTGCTTTGGCAGCCCTAAGAGCAACAAAAGGATACACCTCACTGGATTATTATGAATTGAATGAGTTTGAAATGTAGAAAGTCTAGAATAGTGCTTGCCAAATAGTGAACGTTAGCAGCATCTTAATTTTTACCATGCACTCAGCTTTGTGCCGGATCCAGAAGAGCAAGGGGGAACGACAGCTCATCTTAAGATATGTCATGCTTAAGGTAGGGCAGGTGAGGGACCAGACGGCAGACGAGTGTTTCAGGTACCAGGCGTATCTCCCTGGTGCCCAACATGGCTGACTGCTGCCCCACGGCAGTCACCAATCAAGCAATCAATCAGCTTTACATCTGCTCAGGGTTTCCAAGACCAGCACCAGGTCCAGAGACAGGGTGAATGCAATCTTTTCTGGTGCGTTCCTCTCTTCACGCCGTCTCACAGCCTGCTCTCATGAGAACCCATGCTGATGAGGACACTCAGAGCACATTTTCTGGGCACAGCTGTCTCTTCTTTTAGCCTAATGGTACTGGGAACAACAATGACCAGGGCAGCGAAGGAGTGGAGAGTGGGTTGGGGCAACTGTGGGAGGAAGCCATGCCCATTTGGTATGCTGGGTGATTTGTAATAATATCTGCATGGCTGCGTGAGCCTTGAAAGTTAATTTCCTTACCAGGAGACCCATATAGCACAATCTAGTTTTACCCAAATCTCTATAAAAATACACTGTGCCAAAGGGGGCAGGGGACAGGGTGTCGGGAATGGACTCAAACACAGCTAAAATCAGACATTTTATAAGTGTCTATCGGCCAACACACACACACACAGAGTTTATTGCCATCTTGTTTCATTAACCTTGGCTCCATTTTCAGCTTCATGGGTGCAGAAAGAGCAATGCTGGAACACTTGGGAAGAGTTTGAGATTGCCTGTGTTCACCCACGAGCAAACCTGAGTCGTATGATGAGCCACCTACCACTCACTCTACAGAGGGGTTAGGTTGCGAAGACACTTCTGGTGGCCGCATCACTGGAACTCTTCAAGGTGTTCAAGCATTATTGGGTGTTCAAACATGTTTTATGTCAGTCCAAGATATTACAGTTAACTCAAAAGGCACGTGTAACCGTGTCCAGGAAGGGCACGGTATAGGATATCAGAATGACAGTAATAACCCAGCATATTTAAACTGGATGAGCCAGGCTAGCCTTTGGTGAAGAGTTGAGAGTCTTATTCTGTCTTCCTGCTGAGGAATTCCTACATCTCCTGGAGCAACTGTAGCCAGGCAGGTCCCCAGGAAGTCAAAGCTCCCAGGCTCCCTGTCCCCTCCCACCAGCTTCCTCCTGGTGCCCAGAAACCACCCCTGCGAAGAAGCCCAGCTCCCTGACTTCATTCCCCTACTGAGAACACCAGCATCCAAAATTGCCCTCTTGCCCACCCTCCTTCCTCCCTGCTCAACTCCCACTGCCTTAGCGGGCAGGTGCCAGCCAGGAACTGACTTTGGATTTACACAGCACCAACTATGCCCCCGCTCACAGTAGAAATGCCCTTTAGCATGATCTGAATACCATCTTTATTTTTAGAAAAGCAGCATGGTCACTCTTCTGAGGTCACAACAACAGGGGCCGTGTGTTGTAGTTTGGATGGGTCAGTTGAGGAAACAGAATGAAACCAGTTCTTACAAAGTCAAGCACTAGAGGTGCCCCAGTGCTGATAAGAATGAGCCCAGGAACGAATCTGCTCACATCCATTTCCACTCCTGCAAACCACCTCAGAGGACCCTGTCTGAGGCATCATTCTGCAAAGGACAAAGAGGCCACAGAGGCCTCTGCCCAGAAAGCTGTTAAACCAGTACAGATGCTATCTGGGAAGGCCTCAATTTACTTCAACCTGAAGGCAAGGGAGTAGATTATCCTGCTCAAGGATTTGCCGAGTTTCCGATTCCTTTGTATCCTCCGGGAGGGACCTAGTCATTTCCAGCTGCTTCTGAGAAATCTTTCCACTTTCTTCCTGTTATTTTATCCAAAACTTAAAATGACCCTATGTGCAGAATAAGTCCACATTGCACATGGTGGCCCCCCATCCCCGCTCCCCCAAACCTCCATGTTTTCAGAGTACTTTTGAGTAATAGAAAAAGAAAATCACCTAAAAACAAATAACCCGAGGGAGATTTCATGGGCCAGATGTTCACTGCTGTCTGGTTTCACTAGACTGTGACAGAAAGAGTTAAGAATCTTAAGGGTTTTTGTTGTTGTTGTTGTTGTTTGTTTGTTTGTTTTTAATTCTTTGTAAGTTTCTAACCAGTCACTTACTCATACTGTATTCAACTAGGTAGTAAAAGCACGGGACATCCAGTACCAGATGTGACAGGATGGAGTCAGGTGGAGAGGGTGCCATCTGACGTCTGTGAGAGCAATGGCCCCCAGGTTGGTCTCTTCCCAGTGACACAGCGACTGAGCAGACAAATGTGCCTTGTCCACACACCTGCACCTTAGCAAGCTAGCTCCTTGGCCTTGTCACAGCACAAGGGGCCTCTGCCACCATTGAGTAGGGTCAGGCTATGACACACATGGTGTCCCCTCGAACAAATTTGTCAACAGTATATAGAACCCTTCAATTCACGGTCAGACTCAATCACATGACCTTCCCCGGCTTCAAATGTCTATCTACCCGGATCAAACCCCACACTCCCCCATTTTGCCAATATGGAGGATTTTCAAGTTTTAAAGGTCACATCAATCTTTTTACATGCAGCCAATGCATAAGCCCAAAGGACCACAAGACCCAGGCATGAACGATCCTCATGGAGATCGAAGAATCAGAGAAAACATTCTAGACTTCTATTTCCTTAAGAAGCACTCTTCACATTTCTACCCAAGTTAATTTAGGTCGCCATACATCTATTCAGTGTTTGGTAAAGAAAGTTAAGTGCCCTATTTCTCCCCTTCTTCACTAGTAACTAAGAATATTTATTTCATCTTTCTGTGTGCAAACAAAGGCTCATTAATAAAACCGAGGTGGTACAATGCTTGCTTCTTCACCCACCTCAGCAGGCTCAATTGCTTTGAACTGGACAAGAGTTCTCTGATAAAGCAAGGGTGTGTTGCAATTCTAGTTCCAGCTGGGGTCACTACTCTTCCTTTCCTGGGCCTCGGCTCTCTCAAAGACAGGAACTGGGAACGATGATGTATGGTCCCTCTCCAGATCACAGGGGATGGGGGCAGATGGTCCCAATGAGCCCAGACACTGGACCGTTGCTTAAGAGGGACACCAGAAGGTGGAGCCACGGCTGTAAGCCAACAGATAAAACCCAAAGGATTCCTTGGGGTAAGAACAGCACAGGCAGAGCAGAACAGTCCGAAGCTCTTCCTCCAACACTGAAGGGGAGCCTGCCTGGCCGAGCATTCTCTCACAATTCCATTCAGTGGGAATGGGAAGGACTTTGGTGAGAGATTAATTCTCTTCTCATCAAGCTGTTCCAAAGGGCCCGCTGCATACCAGGGATGGTCATCCGGGCCCTTGCTCACCTCAGCGCCTCTCCGAATACCTCTGAAAAACAGCCGTGAAGTAGCTACTCTGAAATTCCAGTGACCTGGCCATCAAGAAGTTCTCTGCATTGCCTAAATTCCAGCCAAGTCTCCTTCTCCAATTCTGGAATCCTCTCGCCCTTACCTGTCTCAGTGAGAACTGGGTTCACCTCCCAGGACTAGCAGAGGCACGGCAGCCTCTTCCTTCCAAGCCCCCAGCCTAAGGAGATGTCATACTAGCTCTCAGCAGATGGCTCCTGGATTACCAAGAAGACATGAGCCCCCTGGCTGTGGGGCTGTGGCCCGGTAGCCTCCTCTCTCCCCGGGCTCTCCCAGCCTCTACCTTCCTTCTCACGGGAGGGCAGATGGCAGCCTTTTTCTTTCCCTGTACCTGTTCTTGATGTTCTCTCTCTAACCTCATCCCTCTCAAACACCCCGGTTTTGACTTCTTCATTTTCTCCCACTGAGGCTTGCCAAATGGGCCTGCAGAGGGGAAACTGGGACTCGCTCCTGAACACACCTCCCCTCAAGTCCCACCACCTTCTCCGAACACTCCACAGTGCGGCTGGCACTTGGTGCGCCTGTTCTCAGTCTCGGTCAGTGGCCAATCCTTTTCATCCCTCTGGGCATCAGCTCCACTGCCTCTCCCCCCCCCTCCACCCGCTTAGGTCCTACCTAGCTCTTTCTATGTCAAGCACATGCTGTGCTCAGCCTCCTACTTGGCACTCTGGGGACATTCCCGAAGACAGAAGAAAGTTTCCCAGAGGTTCAGCCTCTCCTTGGGTTTGGCTGTGACCTTTGGTGGGCTCCTCCTCTTTGGGAGAGTTTTTCCCCTTGTGGTTGATGTACCCAGGCCTGAAGCTACCTTTAGATGAGGAAGCTTCCTCCACCAAAGTATGATTCGTGTTCATATGTGATCTAAGTCAAGGGAGCGTCTATAGTCTTGTTCCCTTGCCAACCCACCAGGAGCTCCCTCTTGGGGTTTTAGAGACCCCAGAGTGCAATCAGCCTGGGGCAGCTCCCCCTCGACTCTTTGTCTAGCCTGAGGCCACTCTTCCAGGTCTCATGTGTGCATAAGTATATAGTAAGGTCCTGGAGCAGG